TATAGGGATATCTTTTGGGTCCTCAGGAAGTTCAGGTAGGTTTTTTTGAATCATTGCTTCGCAGGTTTGATATAGTTTCTGGTAGTCCACTTTTTCTAAAGTTGGATCTACAAAGAAGTTAAAGCCATATTCTAGCAGTTGAGCTACTTGCAGTGAAATATCTCGTACTGTATACTGTATTGAGAAAAATTGCTGAAAAACAAAGAGTGATTGACACTAGTGGCGTCCCGACGATCGCGCATTAAGTAGGTTGCCAAAAAGGGTAATTACCCTCAATCTCGTTATTTTAGTTATTTTCGTTATATTTCTTTATATTTCTTTATTTCTTTTAGATCGATTATTTATTTATTTATTTTAGCTTTATAGCATGTAAAGAAAGTAGATAAGGAAGTGATGTTACTTAAAGAAAGAGAATTTGAACTCTGATAAAAAAATCTCCACTTACCTAGTCCGCATTGTCGATTGATTCCCTCAAATCACATAAACATGCTAAATCCACACCTTTTTCCACCTTACCTGAATTCCTGCCCGAAAGTATAGCGAGGTCGAGAACCGTAGTGCCAACCCTGACCCCTAATAGTATAAGGGGCCTTATCGCGAGGAAACAAATTCGTAAGAAATTTAGTATTCTCGTGGCAGGAATTCTTACTACAGCATAATCTTCTTTTAATAATGACTATAAGCGAGAAAATCGAGGAAACTTTCATGATTAAAATAATAACACGATGTGAGAATTTTTTGAATAGAGTAGATTAGCGAAAAGAATGCAAATGTGTAAACATTAGGAATATGTATAAACATATGCGCATTAAATGACATACAGAAGGATTTATAGCCTTCGTGTTCAACGAATAAAAAATAACGTTAAAATAAACTCTTACCTTGTTATTACGTGTGTAAATTACTTGTAAATTGTGAAGAATTAGTTGATAGAGAGAAGTTAAAATGTATATACTGTATATGGGTTAAATGAAAAATCCTAACCCCAATTTGTGACAGACTCGCCAATGCACCCATGACATGAATATTTGCTTTACAGTAATGTCATGTTTTGTTATTCAATGTAACTGTTACATAAAATTTCCGGTGTTATTTTTTTGATGGTTATACTGTAAATAGCTAAAGAAATAAATTTTTTGAATAACAAAGATTAATAACAGGCAAATATTTGTATATATTGATTCCAAGCCCTAAATTTAATATTATTGTTTTTAACCATTTTTAAGTTAAGAAAAGCTCTATAAAATTTTTTTCTGTAATATTATTGACTAAAGGCAATTTTTTTTTGTAGATAAAAACAAAAACAAAACCTTTTGATTTTAATTTATCTGATATTCAACATGTTATAATTTTAAAATAAAAAAATATAAACCAATAAACCATTTAACAAGAATCAAACATCAATAATGAAAAATATAAACCAATAAACCATTTAACAAGAATCAAACATCAATAATGAAAAATATTTATCAAATACTTTGCAAAAAAATGCAAGTATAAAAATAAAATACAATTTTTGAATTGGCAAGATTTTAAAATATTATCATATTATATTTTCATTTTTGTTTAAAAAATATACAGTATACGTATTGTATCACTGTATTTTAAATAATTTATTTTTTTTTAGTTAAAATAAAATTTAATTAAAATAGGATTGTTATTTTTTTCGTCTAAAAATTAAAATTTAATTTAGAAAGCATTCACCTTTTACACTTATGCATATACGGTATTTTACTGTAAATCAGATCTTACGTCGATGTATAATAGATCATGTAACATATCAAGATTCTTTATAATGCATGACATCATGCAGCATATAGTATACCATAAGGTCATCTCCAACGAATTTATTTTTCATAATTAAGTAAGTTTGCAATATTCATGATTTCATTGGAAGTCTTGTATTCTTCGGTAGGCATATGAATGAGTACGCCTTTTGCTATTCTTTCTAACTTTTCTAATAAAATGTAACGATTGGTGAATATTGTATACGTATACTATCTATTTATGATGCATCCTAAGAGCTTTTTTTACCTCTTTCTGTATAATATTTATTTTTTACTTGATTCGGAGTGCATTTTATTGCAGAAGGTGAGAGACGGTTATTAATTTCGTCGGACAGAAATTTCCATGGCCGTCCTCCGAGTTCCTTTATTTTAGCACTTAAAATCAGCTTGATATGTTCATCGGTAAATGGATACGTTCTTCTTTTTCCTTCAGATGCTGACAAATAGACTGCAATACGCACATTATTAGCTATTTAAATTATTTCAAATGTTCGAGTAAATAAAGCTCACATCACCTTCATCTCTTAAGTAATCTTTATATCTAGAAATCAAAGATATCGCAATCAGAAAATATCGTAGATCTTAGTAGCAATGACAAATTGGTAAATAAAACCTACTTTTCTTGTAACGATTTAACATTCCTGTTTGATCTAAACTTGGTATTAAACTCATTCTGAATAACTTTCCAATTGACTTTTCGGACTTCCCTTTCGGCACATTCCTTTTCCCTTTTCACTATTTTTAATAGTCCAGACTCCTCCTATAAAATCTCATTAGAAAAAATGAACTGGTTTTGTTTCATTGGTCATAGGAATCTTACTTTCGGTTTCCATCGAAAAATCCTTTTTTTTGTAGAGATACTTTTATTGTTAGGTTCTTCCATTGAAGAGATGTTCAGTGTTAGAGAGTATCGAGTCATACCTTTAAATAACGATAACCGTATTTGTTTATGTCATTTGTTAATTTTATGAACCTTCCAAATGCGTTAATAAATTCCAGTTTATACTTTGAAGCAATGTTTCAGAATTTAATTCCGATAAAATTAATTAAATTAGAAATTTTTTCGAGCAATCATCCGTGGAACAAAGCGCTCATGCATTGTAATTTATGAATACCGCACAAAGAGAAACAGTAATAAATTAGTCACACTAATTGGAATTCAATGAATGATTTCGAAACTTTCGAGAGATGGATGTATTTTTTTGTTTCAGAATCAAATCAGATATAAATAGAAGATTAGTGTAACTTTATTTTTAACCGTATACTCTCGCTAAATGGACATTCCACGTAATACATAATTACGGAAATGCGCAAAAACAACAAAATTAGAATCGCCTGATTTAGTCTGTGTATATATGGATGCACGATTTTATCTTGCTGCACATCAATGATGTCTATTATTATCGCAATAACCTTATTCAATCATCATTGATATTTTGGATTATCCGTTAATACATAGATAAGTCAATGTTAAAGCAAGAGTCTACATCTACAGTATTCTGTAAGGCATTTTTTTTTCGTATTGATAAAATATGACAAATACAAATTTAACCTTGTGATAAGCATTCACGCTGAATGTGTAATACTGTATCATTATGAAAAAAAAAAAAGGCAGACTTTATCTAAATGACATGTGTAATCCAGACGAGTATACAATATACTGCATTCATCTTGAGGTATAACAAAAATCTTGGCAAATCTTTACCATACTTATTTTTTTCCACTGTAACACCGAAAAAAATCCAAAGAGGGAAGTTCAATACTGTCGGTAAAATGCTGTACAGTATCTGCGTGTACATTGACTATTTAAAGAAATGCGCCGAACAATGAATGTCCCTAAATAATTCAATTGAATCTCTTAATCATTTTTTGCGATGAACGTTATGTGATAAGGCGAAACTTCTTTTTCAACTTTGTCTTTCATTTTTTAATTATTCCTCTATAAAAAAATTAGCATGGTGGGATTCTTCCAATCTTTGTTACGTTAACAATGGACAACAAAAATGTCATTAAAATCGTAGCTTAGGATATTTGTGTCGAATTATTAATTATCATTATAGCACCGTCTCTATGTTTCATATTTTTAAACCATAATAATAAATATACTGTATATATGTTAAATAAATAAATTAATTAATAAGAAACTCATAAATAAAATGAAATAAAATTCATACAAAATAATTTTCTCAAATTTAAAATTATATTTGCGCATAATACTTTTTTTAATATTATTTTGATACCATTTGAAATTTTTACGTTTTTTTTTTTATATATAAATATTAAGGTAAACTATTTAAAAATTTTTTATATTATTTTGCGGCAACTAATTTTTCTTTATTCACTAACGGTTGGAAACAACCTGTTGTACAAAAAATTACTTAAAACCTAAAATAAGTGAATATAATATAAAAATTTATTATTTTAATTTAAAAACTTATTTGTTTTATTTATAAGTCGACATTTTCTTTTTACATATTATGTTTATATATTTTACTAATATCCTTAAAATCTTATATATATTAATCTAATCACTTTATAACTCCTTTATAAATTCAATTATAACATAACTAGATTATAATATTATCTGTATTACTTAATTATATATTTATATTTTTATATTACAAATATTGAAACTAATATAATCTTTATTAAATATTGTTTTGCTTTAAAAACCTATTTGAATCTTATTCTTATTTATTTTATTAATTTATTTGTTATGAGTTTTTTTAATAATAAATAAACCATTTTTCACAATTATTATTAAATTAATAAAAAATGTTTTTATTATACTATTAAATATTAACATATTACTATTTAGATATATTTTTAATAAAAAATTTTTGAACAAAAAAAACTGTTTAATCTTGTAAAGTTAATAATATCCTTTTGATAATTCATTTAAAAGGACACAAATATATTTTGAAAGCAAAGATTTAAAAATATTATTAATAAATTTGTTTTATTATATTTATTCATTATTTATTTCATTGTATTAGTTTATGATTGTTTATTGAATTTTTTTTATATTTTGTTACAATTTTTTAAGTTTATATATATTTTTTATTTTTTTTGTATTATATCTTTATTTGTTAAAATTCAAATATTCAAATATAAAGATTTGAGTATTTTATCTTGGATTTTGTAAATAAATTTAAATTTTAATATACTAAATTGAAATTATTAAAAAAAAAAGTAAATTTGTATTTATTAAAAAGCTAATTAAATAAATAATAGTATTTATAATTATTTATGTATAATTGAAATTGAAATTTTTGATTTTTAAGTATAAATTTTTCATAATATATATCTAATATTATACAAATTAAATAAAAAGATAATGTTTATCTATAAAAAAAATTTTTTTTATTATTGCTCTATTTTTTATATATAATAATGACATGTAATGCTTTTTTAAAAAAATTATTAATTTTTAATTAAGCATATAATTCAAAATAAACATTTTCCAAATTACTGAACCAACGAAAAATGTTTCTATCTCATCCTTAATCAACTTTCCTAAATTCTGGATTGTTTTTCCACAAAACTCAAATAACAATAATTCCTTACAAGCAGATATTGTCTTCATCAGTTTCAAGCAAGTAATAAGCAATTTCAACTCTTTCTAACTATATAAAATAATCTTAATAACTATTAACAACTGCAAAAGCAATATCCAAAATAACTTTAATAACTTTTTTCAATATCAAAAAAGGAATAACCTTGCTTCAAACAAAAGGAAGACCATTGCAAGAAAAGTTCTAGACAGTAACCTCAAATATATATTTTATCTCTCTTGAAATCAAATTAATATTATTAGAAGTACCAAGAAATTCAATATAGAAAAAATCCAAGATATATCAACTCACACACTACTCAATACAGCTGTTCAAGATAAAGAATTTATTATTATAATACAAAATTCTTTTTAAAATTCTGAAAGAAAAAAACCACCATCTTAAATTTCAAAAAAAACTTCAAACAACTTACTCTTTATCTTTAATTTACAAAATACAAACAATCCCAAATCAGCAAAAACCAGCAGTAACATGTATACATCTTCTGCAATACAAGAATATACAAGTGTAACTAATATAACAGGTTATATAAAATCAAATATCAACAATTTATACAATCAAGATGATATGATGCAAATAAATAATATCTATTATACAGTCATTATAGACTATTAACATGATAAATCCAAAAGTATAATCAAATTTACTAGTCTTTATTTTGATAACAATATATTAATAGAATTAATGGATTATATAAACCTTATTGATAGCACTAGCTTTCTTATAAATTTGATTATTAAATACAAAAAAAATTAAGCAACCTGTAAAAAAATATATTTCCTGTTCAATCAAATAAACAAGACCTTATATCAGAACAAATTAGAATAAATAAAATACTAAAATAAATAAAATACTAGACAAAGCTGAAGTAGATTGGCCAACTAATAATTCAAGCCTAAGTAGTAATCTCGAAAACTCTTACAGTTTTTTACTTATAGAAAATTTATTAGAAAACCAGCAACTAGTATTACTTCCAAATAACAAAGAAAATAGAATAGCAGAAATTTTCCTAAAAGTAATTAATCAATAGATGGCTCCTTGTCATATGATCAGCAAGTAACAATAAATTATTCCCTAGTAAACATAATACAATTATTGATCTAGCATTGCAATTAACATTCTGCTGCAGTAAAGTCAAAGCAGTAGCAGAATTCTTTATAAAAATCAAAACCATTTCTAAAGGTTAAGTCTTATAGAAACCTTACTTTGCAATCTTTATTAAAATTCTCTTAAAAGATAAAACATTCTTTATATTCTTTACTAAAAATGAATTTCTAAAAGGAAACTATCAAAAAGAATATAAAGATTTGAAAATAAAAGCTTATAAAAACTATAAAAGAATTAATGATATAGAATATATCAACAGAAGAATCAAAAAAAAATCAGATGGACTCTTAACTTATTATTATTTATGGCCTGTCTCAGATTTACAGATCTAAGCAAATTCAAGTACTTAAGCACTTTGAAATTGCCTAAATCTTGAAATTTGGATGCAACTACTTTGTAAAGGATGACAAAAAAACTATTAACTATATCAAATTATTAAACATTATTAAAAAAGTGCTTTATGAATCACTACCAGCTCTTCCAGAAAACTAGAATCTATTTCTTTCAATATAGTCATTAAACTTTCAAGTTCATTTCTGATCAAAAAGATATTGCAACTCTTATCTATAGTATTAGTTCTAAAAGCATATTATATGTTTTTTCAATTGCCTAACTTATATTTTTTCAGGTTTGATCTTTTGCTAAAGAATCCTAAGTAGTGTTACAAATTATTAATTAAAAAGTTTAAAATTAGTCAATCAGAATTCAAAATTTTTAGTTGCAACTAGTTAATTATATTAAAAACAACTAATCGATTAGAAAAATTTTTGCCAACTAAGATTACTAACTCCAAGAACATTAATGAAGACACCAAACATCTCTTTTCTATTATCAAAAGAAAAAACATTAAAGAACTTTGCACAAAAATCAAAAAATTAGCCAAGTTTTATAAAATTTTCACTAAACTATTCAAAACTTTTTTCAATTTGTCACTACTCAAAATTCCACTTCCAGCATTATACAAATTGCTCCCAAAATATCTAGCATATTATTTTCCTTATAACTTGATGACAATAAATACAAGAAAACTTATTGACATCCTGAGAAAGGAATATAGCCTCAAAACTTTACCCTTGAACTATTACAAGTTCAAAAAACAACTACTTCAATTCACTATTAGATAATTTAGATATAAGTAGGGCTCTTAACGATACCACTTCGATACCAATTTGATACTTAAATTTACTATAAAAACATATGAATAGGTCACAACCCATATATTAAATTTACTATAGAT